GATGCCTTGGTCCTGCTGCCTCAGTGGTACCAACATCCCAGCCCACTCCATTCTTTCTTCCTGATCTCTTTTTCCTGTCTGTGCCCACTTACCCTTCTGGAGATGTAATGATACCCAGGGAAGAACATGATAAGTGACGAGACTTCTTTCTTTTCCTTCACCTTCCTCTTACCGACCCTCCAGCCCCCATTATGTGATTTCAAGTAAAACACGAGGAGTCTTAAGAAAAATCTTAGGTGTGAATCAGGGCTAGTTTTTTGTTTTGTTTTGTTTTGTTTTTAACAGAAAGAAGAGGCCAGAGTGTCTTACATTTGGTTCCGTGAGAATGTGTTTCATCTTTATTCTTTTTGAGATCTTGTTCTCTACTCTCTCCTTTGTTCCTTCTTCATCACTCTCGTTTTACTTTTCCTTTCCATGAGGACTGTTTCTCCTACAGAATACATATAAGTATTCTGAGTGTGTTGCTTTCTTTGTCTCAATATGTTCATTCTGTCTAGAGTCGAACTTAGTGATTCTCATCCTTTTTGGAGTTTTTGGTTTGATTTCATGACATTATCCCTTTCTCTTTTATTCTAAACACTAGGTGGTAGATATGTATATGTATGATTGTTGAAAATAAATGGATTTAAATTAATATAATTTAAAATACTGGAGATTCTCTGTAGCATCACAAAACCAGGCCTAAGGCCTAAGACCAACGTCTTGTCTAACTTGTAAAGTCAAATCAGCAGCAGTTATTAGTATAACAAGTTATAAGCCAAAAAGAGCCTGTTCATGTTCAGGCTTGGATTTGAAACTTGAAACCTTATTTACAGATTGACATCTGTGATTTGTTCCCAATTTAAATTTAAAACCCTAGTTGCAGTGTAAATTTTAACAAACTCCTGAATTGGCAGTTTAGTTTTATTGAGATGCAATTTAGTGTTTTTTCACATGCCTATATTTGAATAGTGTACAGCTGTCTGCTGTCTTGTGGCTGAATGTAATGTCATATAAATGGAAAATTTTCCTTCACTTGTAGCTTACTCAACATACTACTTTCCACACTTTCGTTGCTCGGTTTCTAAGACGATTGGCAGATATAAATTGTTTTGTGTCTGTGGTAGGAAAAGTGTAAACCATGGTGCAAGTGTTTCTTGCTGTACTCTTCCTTTACATTCTGAATGTAGGTGAGGTACCCATGCTCTCTGGGACAGAGATAGACTAAAAGTGCCACTTGGAATTGTGGTAATATTTTATAGGCCTATTTCTTTACTGATGCATAAAAAAACTGCAGAATGGGTGGAGGAAGAAACATCAATCAGAAAATTTAAGAAAATTAAGGAAAAGTAAACAATCATAATGAAAAGAAAACCCCTTATATTAGAGATTTATTCTACAAAGTAATTTTAAGACCAAATTTGTATCTGTTGACCAAATCACACTGCGTGCAATGTTTGGAATTGAGAATGAGGCTTCTGAGGCAGCATAAACCCCACGCCCTTCAGGGGGCTGGCGTAAAGTTTGTCCTGCCATTCGGCAGAACAGTGACCTTGATGCATCGGGAGGCGAGATTTTCGACGGTTCTGGTGCTAGAATTTAAAGAAGTCACTCACAGTTTGCCATAGAATGCAAAACCTTCCACTGCCTAAGCTTTTCAGTCGTTTAGGTTTTTATGTAAGTTAGAGAAGTGAGCAACGTGGACAGTTCACCTTACAAGGGTTATTAGTAGTTAATGTACAGCAAGGGAAGAGCTGGGGAAAGTTAACCAAGTACGTACTCGCTATGTTGGTAGAAGATTCCTTGGTGCCCTCAAAACTCTTGGAAGAAAAGTGCCAGATTGAACTATATAAAATTGCCAATATTCGATCATCTTTGATCTAAAAAAAAAATGGAAGTTTCATGTGGCTCAGCCTAATAAATTAGTGGTTTGGGTTTTAAAGATATATATTCAAATGTAAAATATTTATGATTCTCTTCCAGATCAGGCTAAATGAAGATACGATCCAAGATGTTGTACAGGCAGCAGACCTGCTACTACTGACGGACCTTAAAACTCTGTGCTGTGAGTTTTTAGAAGGCTGCATTGCTGCCGAGAACTGCATCGGCATCCGGGACTTCGCGCTGCACTACTGCCTTCATCACGTGCACTACCTTGCCACCGAATACCTGGAGACTCATTTCCGAGATGTGAGCAGCACAGAAGAATTCCTGGAACTGAGTCCTCAAAAGCTTAAAGAAGTGATTTCTCTTGAGAAGTTAAATGTTGGCAACGAGAGATATGTATTTGAAGCGGTAATTCGATGGATAGCACATGATACAGAAATAAGAAAGGTACCTGTCCTTTATAACGTGGTCTATGTTGCCTTTTGGATTTATTTATTTTTAATCCAAATTATAGTTGTTTCATCTCTCTCCTTGAACATGAAAGACTTACAAAGTTGTGATCCAAAAGGTATCTGTAGAACATGGTCCCGTATATCGTTATCAGTCTGCAAAAGCCCATGTCACACACACAATATGTCAGTGAAAATAGTACCACTTATGAGGAGCATATTAGCCTTTGGTTTTTGTTTGTTTGTTAATCACAAGCAAGCTAGAGCAGGAGCATAATAGCCTTTCTATGTTGTTTTTAATGGGAAAATGCATTTCAAGCTTAAGCGGAAGATTATAGAAACCCAGCACCCCCACCCTTGCTTTCGTCAGCCTGTGCTGCTGCTGCGTCGTCGTTGGGCCAAACCCCACCGGGACTGGGGTGCACGTGGAGCTCTGGCTGAGGGTGGGGAGCTTCAGATGTGATTGATACCACGTGCAGAGAGCAGAGGGCTCTGGAGTCTGGGTGGTGGTGCAGCTCCAAGAAGGAAGGTTCTGGGAGTGACAGCTTGGGAGAGAAGGTCTTAGAGAATGTCAGCCTTTAGATCCCAATTGTGACTACGTTAGGGGAGGGAGCAAATTCACAGGACAGGGTTGTTAAGTCTGATCTTTATAAATAAGACAATAGCTTCAACGACTTTTCAAAATAAGACGTGTTAGGATTTAGAGAGTGGATTTCAAAATGTGTGATTGCACTGTTAGTTGTTCTTGGTAACTGTCAACTTAAGGGTTAATGATTATCTTACAATTTTTTTAATTCTGTAAGCCTGTAAGTATATACACTTAGAAACCGTGTTTGTAGTCTTAGTCTTAGGATGGGTAGTGTGTACTTTGCGTGTTAGTTGGGTAAATTAGGAAAGGAGATGGAAAAATTTCTAGTTTGCTTCCATTCACCAAGGCCACCGTAAGAAGCACTGTGCTGGCCTCTGCCTTTCCCTCCTCTGGCCTTAAAGTGAGGGGGTGCTTGGGGGCAACTGGTTGCTAAGGAAACGAGGCACTTCTCATCCTTTGGCCAATCTGAACTTCATTCTGTAAAGACGGTTGGCTTTTAAGACTCAAAGTATAGAAGAGTATACCCTAAAATGACTATTTCAAACCAAGAATAACCTCCTGAACATACCAATTAGTAAACTAGTCGTTAAAAGAGTTTCATATTATGTATGTAGAACACGCTAGTCAATTGGTTCAAATTTAATGACTGAACAACAAAATTATATAATTCATATTAGACATGTTAGATATTTTCAGAGAGTAATTACTGCAGAAATGATTAGTACTCAGGATTTTTTTGAATTTGGTTTTCGTGCATTTTTCTTGTAATATTAATATTGATACATTATCTGAGTTTACCATATTGTGTTGAGCTATTACTGTATATAATTCTAGAAACATGATTAACTCACAACACATCCAAATATGTGAAATAAAGCAAATTATAGACTTTTTTTTCCTCACTTCCTATCAGAATGGGAACCATTAAGGTGTAAAGAAAGCTGCTTGAAACTTTGCAGTGATACCTCAAATAAAAATATAAACTGATGGTTTTTAAAAAT